ACTTATTTTGTACAGTTCTAATCATTATGAATAAGCCCTTCAACAATTTCCTGTGGGATCAATAAAGTTCTATCTTATCTTTTCTTATCTTCTCAGTTTATAGACCTTTTACCTCCATTTTCTGTGATGGTTCACAGAATCTTTAGAAACAATCATCTGATCCAGTGAAATAACTGTATAATGAAATAACTGTATAATGAAATAACTGTATAATGAAATAACTTACATGCTCACCGGTTCATTCAAGCCAATAGCCATTGTCAGCACTAGGGGCTGTAAGCAGATCCTAGAATCGCCCCTGATTCTGCCTCTGTTTCAGTCAGGTTCTTGTTCCTGATGGTGGATTCAGTGGCAGTGATGAGTTCCACAGTGGGTATTTCCTGTGGAGAAAAGGCTAAATTCAGGCCTTTAGTCAACCCATCTACCTCTGGCTGTGTCAGCGTCCTGCTGGACAGGTTTTAAACCCACTGGTCCTGAGTTTTGGCGTTGTAACCTCCTCCAGTGTTTCACTGGTTATTCATTGTGAAGAAGCTGCTTTCTGCTGAAGTTTTTTAAATTTACCATTTTGGCATTCCTTGGTTTTCTGGTGTTACGAAAGTTGGGCCTTTACAATAAAACTGAAAACTTACTTTGTCAGGGTTTTAGGTAGAAGAGTAGAAGCAAAGAGCCTCACAGGCTCTTTATTTTCCTGTTTAAGTTTTAAATCTTAAAGGTTTTCTTAAGTTCCTCTTGTTAGTCTGCAGTCCTGGCTTCATATCTCCTTCTAATTGTGACAAATAGTCTAATATTTAAAGAAAGCACATTTGTGTTCAGGGTTGCTCCTGCTGTGCAACAACTTTTGATTTGTCATGTTTTTTAATAAACACAGCCATAGTTCAGTTGCATTCATTGTTTGTAAATATTAAATGTATATTGTATTATTAAAACTGCAGAGTCCTGAGCATTCTGACCAGTACAGGCCTTTGAATTTATCTTCTTACCTGAAACATTGAAATTAGAATAAATTTAACCCGTTCAGTGTAGTGATTTCATGAACGTGACATCGTGGTCCATATTTAGACTCAGGAATGTGCCCTGACATCATCACGGCATGTTTCCTCACATTGTGTGTGTGTGCGTGTGTGTGCGTGCGTGTGTTTGTGGTGACAGCCGGTCTATTCGTCACATTGCCAGCGTTTTCCCAGCTTGTTCTTTGCTTCTGAGACCAGTTAGTTCCTCTGGACTGATCAGGAACACAGCCTGTGGACGCTGCTCTGAGCCCAGAAAACACGTGGGAGGGATTTCTGAACGTGATTTTTATTTTCATTTATTAATTTTGTCATTAAGGGATCTAATTTCACTCAGGTTTGAGAGATTTAACACCAAGTTTTTTTCTTCATCCAAACCACAGATCAGGACATTCTGTGTTCGTTTGTACATCTGAGAATGGCAGAGGAACTCCTCAGTTGTCCCTTCCCAGATTTAAAGGAGTTGGAAAATAAATTAGGAAGGAAAACACCAGAAAGTCTTCTGGTGTTGATCAGGGATGCTGCGGTCTGTGAGGACAGCAGGAGGTCTTATGACAGCCACGACTTCAGCAGCACTTTATCTGATGACATCTCCAAATTAAAACAAGAGATGGTAAAGTTCCCTCTTCTATTTATTTGCAGGTTTCAGTTCTGAACCTGATGGTCTGCTTGTGCTGCCAGGGTCACAACCTGTTCAACTTGTTCTTGCTGTGTTTGTGTTGAACTGATGAGTTCCTCTGTGAGACACTTCACCAGCACCTGTGTTTCTGATGACACTGTTTCACCTGTCTCTGCTCCCATTCACCCCATTAACACTGCACATTTAGATGGGCTTCTTCCTTGTATGTGTCTGAATGTGATCTAAAGCTCTGACTAGTCTTTACAGATTAAGGTTATCTTTGCAGAGATGTAGTAGAGTGAAGTCTGGATTTGTGTCTTGTAGAGTGCTGTATGAATGTGTGTAGTAGAGAGTTGTATGAATGTGTGTAGTAGAGAGTTGTATGAATGTGTGTAGTAGAGAGTTGTATGAATGTATGTAGTAGAGTGCTGTACGAATGTGTATAGCAGAGTGCTGTATGAATGTATGTGTGTAGTAGAGTGCTGTATGAATTTATGTGTGTTGTAGAGTGCTGTATGAATGTGTGTGTAGTACAGTCCTGTATGAATGT